GTTTGTTCCTTCATGTTTTGAGTACGTTTTGGTTATTGTGTAAGGGATGTTAATTAAAATTTTTATTACACTTCCGCATTTGAGATTTTTAATACATATATTCCATTTAAATTTCCGGGGCCATTACAAGAGCGATCATTGGCACTTAGAGGGTAGGAACTAGAGAGACATTTGGTGTTGGCCAAGTGCTTAACGAGTGCGTGCATTCCTCTGGTTGGTTGCTAAGGGGAAACTTTTGACAAATTGGGAGAGATAACGATGTCACATATCCTCTACTGCGGAATGCAGTAGATGTTGCGGCCCTATTGAGGATGTGGATCATGTTCTTTGCAATTGTAGCGTGGCCAAGCTATTGTGGTTGAAGATCACACCCGCCGAAGCCCAATCAACTTTCTTCAGTGGTGCTGTAGATGAGTGGTTAGTGCTCAATCTCAAAAACAATTGGCCTTAGTGCAAGATATTTTAGGATTGGAAAATGACATTTGGTATTGCTTGCAGGAGCTTGTGGAACTATAGAAATAAATTTATTTTCTAAGAGAGTGATAGCAGTATCGAGGAGCTTACTAAGGATGTATCTCTCATTACTGATTTTACTTTTATGACTAATAATATAAATTTTTATTTTCTTTTAGGTATGACGTACAGATCGAAAGAACTTATTGCTTGGCACAAACCACCTAAATGTTGGTTGAAGGTGAACATTGATGGTGTTTATTGTGCTATAATCAATCTCGCCTACTGTGGCGAACTTACTAGATATGAAGATGGTGCTTGCCTAAAAAGCTTCAACAGAAAAATTGGTAGATTTTCTATTCTCCAAGCTGAGCTTTGAGGTGCTTTCAATAGTCTTCAACTCGCTTAGAATGCCAAATTCTGTAGTATCATTCTAAAAATGGATGACACTCTGGCAGTTCAATTACTCACTAAGGAGGATTATGGAACTAATGCGCATGCCACCCTCGTTTGTGTGACCAAGCACTTGCTACTGCAAGATTTGTAAATGCTCAAAATTTAATTGAATGAAATATTGAATTAATAAAATATAAGTAAAAACAATTGAGAATGTTAGAGTTACATTCCTTACACAGTTAAATCAGAATTCCCAATATGGTTACGGGAATGCCTCTTAAAGATGATTAAAATAACACAAATAGAAATACAACTAGAAAACTATAGGGTCAGCCTCCGTAGTGCAATTCTGATGGAAATGGGAGGTAACCTTTAGTTCATAACTTTCTTATTTTTTCGGATCCGAATCATGGTCGTCTTGATTTGAAATGATTAAATAAGGTGAATTAGTTATACTACTTCAGTAAGAATATCAACAATTAACAACTAATACGGAAAGTCAAAGGTTGGTAAAAATCACAAAACAACCAATAGAGTCATTTTTTCTTTTTTGGTAAATTTATCTAATTTAAAAGACGTAGTTCATACTCACCTTTTAGGTTTTCAAATACGACTTGTGAAGATAATGATCAAGATAGCAATTTATTATGCATTATAAGAAACAACAATAATCAAACTTTACATTTTTACTTACTTATCGGTATTTATGGAGACTCAATATCCATGCAGACTCAATATCCAATCTATTAAATAACCGACCATCCCTGTATCTCATCCGGTAAGGGGCACCAAATGAACCACTGCCTCAACACCCCGTCTGGTATGAAAGTGAACAAATACTTTCCAACCCCTTCTGATATGAGACTTCTCAGCTCCGTTCGACTGAGATAATATTCATGGTAGGGTTTGCCTTATGTGCTGGGCCTTTACACCCTTTCTCATGACACCTGGTAAACCTTCCACATATATATATCCTCATTATTAACTAATCATTAATTACATATAAAAATCTTGTTTTATAATTTCAGGACATTATAACGACAATTAAACGACAATATAATTTGGTATTTTAATCACTAAGAAAACGTTGTCAGAGCATTTATTTGAAACCAATCAACAGATATGGATAAAATGATTAAGCAAGCTAAGGAACAAAAAGATAATTAAAATCAATAAATTAAAGCATACGATATAACAGTAAGCAATTTGTGCAACATAGAAACAAATGGGCAACACAAATAAACTATACAATGACCAACTACCAGTTTATCGGCAACCTATACTTCATTAATAAAAGGTTTACAATATTCACAAATTTCACTGTAAATTATTTTTTAAACTTTAATTTAACCGTAACGGGAGAAAAGGTGTGAGATTCTTACCCTGGGTAGGTGTTCGAAATATCGCCTTTTTCACTACACTTCCTGATGGTTCCCAGATTTCTTGAGTTTTACTTGCGAAAACTAAAAACACGCGTCACATATCCTGAAATACTAAAAAAATGGAAAAAAAATAAGAGTTTTAGAATTTTTCAACCAGTTTAGGGTTTCGACACAGCGACTTTGCCGTGCTCTGGCGCCGGCTTCGCTACCTATGGCGGTGTCTCCTTTTGGTCTAGTTGGTTTCGGCCGGTCCTGTACGAAAACCTACAAATTTTGAGATTAGGTGGTCTCTATTGGTCGGAAAAAAGAAAAAATCGAAGCTTACCAGCGATGTGATTTTTCGATATGGTAGCTCCATCATTCCTCCCTCGCGGCCGGGGGTTTCCTTCGGTCATCCTGCACCAAAAAAGGGTTAGGAATTCAATGGTCGAAAAATGAAAGGAAACGGAAAGGAGGATCGGGTTCACCGGAGGCGCTTTGGGTCACAGGTGTGGCGACTCAGCTGAACTCTACCCTCGGTTTCTGGCTTTTTTTTAGTTTTTGGTGCCGATATAGGTGTGGGAAGGCTTAGAATCAAATTTCGAAATGAAAGGCGAAAAAACATCACCTCCCCGATATCGGCAGTGACTCTGGTGCGGTGGTGATGATGGTCAACTTTCCTTCCAACTGCCTTTTTGCTTCTTTTCCGGCGGGGTGAGTTGCGGCTAGGGTTAGGGTTTTCTAGGAAGAGGAGTTTAAATACTTCTCTTCATTAAATCTGAATCGTCGGTTCAAGGAGACGTTGCCTATTCCCAACCGTTGGATCGATCTTATATGGGGAATAAATCTGAAACGCACGATCGGATGCAATCAGGGCAGTTCGATCATATTTGAAGAGGAAATAGATCTGGACCGTTCGTGTATGCAGGAGTAGATTTGAACCGTCAGATCCGTTGGCACACAGATTGCCCACGTGGCTTCCCATGTGGATGCGTGTCCATGTGTCTGCCACGCGGTATATGGTGATTGGTCGCACTGTTGACGTGACGGTCCTACGTGGTCTGTTTTTTATTATTTGCACTTTTGCCTCAGTTTTCAATTTTTTTTTTCAAAATAAATCATTTCTTATTTTTAGTTTGGCCCAAACTTTTAAAAATTATTTTCAAATACACTCAAAACATAATTTTCTTTAAAATTTCAGTTAAAAATTACAAATTAAATTTTTTAAATTTCTTTAAATTATTTATTATTATAATTTAATTATCCCGATGCTAAATTTCGAATCCGGGTGTTACAAGATTGGCAGGTCCGAATCCAACACGTCTATCGTAAAGGAAATAAATGTATTTATTGGTTGGCGAATGCTGACTTCTCTTTACCGGTAGGCATTCACTCTCATGTTCAAGTACCAAATGATCTCCAATAGCTCCTCGTTGATGATGTCATGAGTGTCTCTTTGTTCATGATATGCATAACGATCTCTTAATTTTCCTTTAGCTTTTACCACTCCTTATACCAAAAAAAAAAAAAAATACTAATGATGCTAATAAAAGTTAATGTAAGTGAAGAACTAAAAAATTAAAAAAAAATGTATGAACCAAATAAAATAAAATAAAATAGTATATGATCCAAAAAAGTTATATATTACATATAATGTAAATTGAATAAAAAAAATATTCAAATCATATATTATATATAAAGCAAATGGGTAATGTGACAGTTGATTAGATAGATTAAGTGGGAAAATGAGTAGTCCATGTCATAATAGTTAAGCTGCTAGGATCGTTTTGTTATTGGGAAATTAGATTAGACAGTTTCATTGTTTGAGGTCCATGGAATACCAGAAGGTATGAGAATATAACAGAGAGGATTATCTTCTTTCCTATTTTTGATTGTATGCTTACTAGGAAATTTTTGAGGTTGATATTTTCCTAAAACAACATGAATGATACTCTATTATCTATCTTTTAATTATTTTATCAACAATTAGAATGTTAATTATTAAGTTTTTAAATAATTATTTTTTGATAATTTGATCTATAAACTTATTAGATTATTTCAAAAGACATGATTGTTTTTTTTTTTTTTAATTTCTAGGCCTCACTTAAGTGGTATAATTATTATTTGAAAAAATGGTGCTTTTATTTAACATGAATTACAATTTGGAATTTAAACAATTTTTTTTTAAAATAGTTATTGCAGTTGTCTTTTTCTTCCTAATGTTTGTTACTATCATATGTATTAAAAAAATAAGTAAATATTTTTTATTAAATTGATTAAAGTCAATATGGATAGAATAAGAAAGAATTTCTATAATTTTTTTTTGTTGTTGTTAAAATTGTTTACAATTACATGAAACATCATTAATTAAACTTATTTATGAATTTAAAAAAATAAAAGAATTTAAAAACAAATTTTATAATATAAATACAAACAATTTTTTTTATAAATAATAATATATTTAATTGAGCTGGAACAAGAAAACATTTTTTTATGTTTTTTTGTCTCAAAATATGTCTGTTAAACTTAAGCTTTTTATTTTTAGTTAATTCCCATAGCATATTATTCAATATAAAGCTCGAACCCGGATCACTGGAAGTTTTGTTACCCATCTTTTTTTTTTTTCAAAAAAAAAACATGGGTCTGCAAAGAGGCCCAAATGAATGGACTTCACCTTCGTAGGCTTTAATCTGCCACCTATATAAAGCCCAATATCAAGGCCGGTGATTGTTCAATTTTAAACCTTCATTTCGAAAAAGAAGCGCGAAAAGGGAGATTTGAGTAGGGAACGGTTAATGGGGGGAACTGATACACAGAAGCAACTCCTGTCTCTGATCCGTGACTTTGTCTCTGAAAAGTCTCGGGGAGGTAAAGCTCTCATCCATACGATCTCCTTTTTATTTTTTATTTTTGTTTTCTGGAAAAAGATTTAGGAAAACTGTTAAAGAAAAGAAGAGAATCATGGCTTCAATCTCTTTGTTATTATAAGCAAATCATATTTTTGGAGTAGTCCAAAAGTATTGATTATTTCTTCTATGAGGTAACCAATGATAGTTATAGATTATCTACGTTTTGATTTTCCATTCATTTACCATATTTTGTCGGGAACTAAACGGAGGGGGGTAATTTGTTGGCCTGTGTGACATCGAAACGAATCTGTGAATGCTCGAGAGTTTCTAGAAAGAAGATTGATTGGTTTAAAGAAGCGAATTGAGGAACTCCAATCTGAGGTAGATGTAGCGAATGGACAGCTTGAAGATTCCAAGCACTTGAAAGAAGCAACTGAGCAGAAGCTTAAAGGCTATGAAGTTGAGCTGGCTCTGAATGAAGCTTCAACTCAAGCTCTAGAGGTTTAGATTTCAATTTATATTTTTGTTCCTCGCGGTGAAATGAGCTTCTTATTTCAGTTTGAATGCCTTTCTGTTTGAACGGTTTGTTTAGGTCTTTGTTCAAACCGCTTGCAGGCTAGGATTTCCCTTATTCGAAGTCAGATTTCCACAGTTGGAGATAAAGTTGAGGCTCTTAAGGTGTTAATCAGTCCTTGCTTTTTTATTTTTCTTCTTGTCTAAATCGGTGAACTAAATTGATAATGATGAGTGTTTTGCTCATAGCCAAAAAGCCGAGAAAGGTATGATGAGTACTTGCTATTGATTTTTTTTTTTTTTTGAGATATTTCCCTTCTCTTATTAACTCTTCTGTCTAACTACATATCATACCAAAAATTTGTTATGGAAATGTGAAGAATGAAGAGCAAACATTGAGGTAAAAAACCGTATCCCACAAGCCTTTTTGTTACTAGCCCAAAAGATATTAGTATCGTTCATATTATGTGTTATTTATCCTTTTATGCAGCGATCGATTTATTGGACAAATGTTTGAATTGAATGCCAAGATAAGGTACCTACCAAATTTTATATACAGTTACTTTTTCATACAGTAACATCAGGTGATTGTTATCGCAGAGTCTTTTCGGGGTAGACTTGCAACATATAATGGATATCTTCTGTAGTGGCAGAACAGGATGCTTTGCCATATCATCTAATTGATTTTCATGCATATATGAGATTTTGTTACATACTCTCATCGTATTTTATGCTTCCTCCACCTTGTGCTTGGAGTCTGTATCTTGGTTTATATATATTTTTTGTTCCGGTGGAATTCTGAAATACTGCATGCACCCAGTGCAAAGTCTCTTCATTGTGCACCACATTTAACCCAGTTTAAAATCTTCCACAACATCTCGGACTCTGTATCACCTTTTTGTCATTGACAAAAAACTGCTTGATTTATGTCAAACTATGCATTTTTAGATGACTGCTATGAGGTACTACTTTTGCAATATGCATGCTACATTTGTAGTACTTGTAGTTAGAATACAACTAATCAGTTAATTGCTTATGTTAATGAAGGAAATTCCGAGAAACAATAGGTTGTAGTTTTCAGAAAGAGAACGGCACTGGGACTGCAGCAGGTAATGCCTAGGGTTCCACTCTCCTTCCTCCCCAATACAAATTCTACTTGTTCCAGTATTGTAACGACTACAGGTCATAATTCAAATCCTTTTATTTTTTACTTCTATCAAACTTTCCCGCAAAGACTTATCTACTGAAATATAAGTCTCTGATTTCGTACTCCAATCCTTCCCATACAATGTACCTTATGCAGAGTGTTCGAGAATTCCCAACCAATAACCTCAGAAACCGCGCACAGATTTTTCGATAATCCTGGCAGTAGATTCTCCTCCAAGTATTATGAATCTTTTAGATTTGCTTAGTGAATCACTAATTCCCTTAATCAGTTAAATAGGAAGGCCTTTCACGCTATTAAATGCAATTAATTTAGAAAATATTGTTCGTGGGAATTTGTAGAAAGATTCTTAGATCTCTTTCTTCCTCGAGAATAGCAAAAAAGAACCACTATGACCCTCTCAGACAACACCTCTTTTGTCTCTTTCCGTAACCTCTCTTAACTGTCGCCACATTCGCCCTTTTATACTGAGTTGAAGAAAACTTCCATATAATCATCCTTACTGGGTAATTGGGGTACTTACAGGTAATTTTGATTAAGGGTCGATTGGCCAGGAGTTGGGTTGGATCTTCATGGATACCTATCCATCCAGCTCGGCCCTTAAACTAAAATATTTCTCAAACCTTTGTAAATAGATTTTAATTCAATAATATGTGCTTGAAGTAGTTTTTGAGAGGTAGAGCTCTTTTTTCAAGACACTGAAGCTCGAACTAGACAACGAATTTCAAAACACTGTTATAAAAGAAACGGTGAAATTTGAAAGAAAATTATTTGGATGAATTTCAGTCTTTCTAACCTTTAGTTCTCAAGTTATATTTTCATTGAAGATTTTTATGCAGTTGCAACTCACACGAACCAAACTTTCTTTTGGTTCTTCCCGTCTTTTTACTCAATTTTTAATTCATCTGCCATGATAATATCTTTTATTAATAAATGAGGAATTTATCTCCATTGTTTCAGAAGAAAGGAAAAAAATTTCTACGATAAATGAGACTGAAATTACTTCAAGAAACCTTGAGGATATGCTTGCGCAAGTACTTTCTCAAATAGCTAAGGCGGAAGAAGAGTATCTGGTAGGACAAGATACTCAAAAGCAGGTAACGACTTGGGTCTTTCTAATTTAAAGCTATAGAAAATATTTAGTCTCTATTTTCTAGACCTTCTGCATTTAGCTATTCTTTTTCAGTTTTGATCCTGCATAGAGATCATGAAAGTGTTGAATTGGTCTGACCACCTGCAGGTCCAGCTGGAGTTGACCGAGTATGAAAGGAATGTGTCGATGATGGAAGTGATAATGAAAGAAACAAGGGAATTGCAAGATCTAACAAGATATCCTTATAATTTTTTTCAGTATACTAAATGATAACTGTTAATTCATGACTTGTGCATAGATTTTTTGGAATAACAAAGGAAGCACAAGATGGAAAATAAGCAAGAAAAAAAGTAAAGCGAATGGTTCACAAGTGATTTTTGGTTATTTATACAAACCAAGAATCCATGTCAATATTGAAGAACAACATTTTAATTTTTAAAGACACATTTTCTTTCAAGAACTTATCTTCATGGATTGTTTTTGCAAGCCATTTACGAGAAACTTTTTTCAACCCTCAGTTTTCCTCTGGAGAGCTTGATTGTGTGTGTGCATATTGAAATGGGTAAAAGATGGAGAAAAGAGGTCCATAATGCTCGAAACAACTTAAGTTTTCAATTATATGAAGTTATTTTTTTTTTGGCTATAACAGCAACAAGGAAGAGCAAACATAGTTGCAGCTTTGTTCTCACTTTGTTTTAAATTGAGGATGAGAATACAGAATGCAGTGGCTATTTCCTGGTTCGGATACTGTCAACCAAAATCTTTTCTTAGTTACTGATGATAACATCTACTCTTAATATTTTTCTTTGACTGGAAACAAAAAGACTTCTGAGTTGGAACAGACATGTGCTTCCCTTGGTGACGAGCTGCAAAAGCAGTGTGCATGTCCAAGTTGTCACTTTGAAAATGTCGATGCTTTGGGTCGATTTTTTCAGGCAAATGAGGCAAGTTGATTTTTTTTGTTAGTGTCCTATATTTTCCTGATGTATCTCAAAGTCTTAAGGTTACTTAATAATCACCAAAATGGGAACATGAGGGGTTAAACTTTCATAGCTTTTCTGTTAACATTGTACATTCAATCATTGATCTAACAAGTCATAAAAGCAGGCTTAATAATTGGAAAGACTGGAAGTTAATTAGAAGACGAGAGAACATGTGTAGATTGCACCACTCTCTCCATTGATAATTTTGGCAGTTATATTAAGCTGCAATATACATTTACTTCTATAAATTGTCTCATAGGAAGCAGCATATATCTTTTAAAGTTTACTTGCATATACTATTAACTATCTATCTATCAGTTAATCAAATTTATATCATGAAGTCATCATACTAGCTCCTAAACCAAAGGAATTAAAACGGAAAAGAAGAGGATTATTTCCTTGACACTTGCCACAATGACATAACTAGATAAAGACAAGCAAGAAAATTCACTATGATCAGTTCCTATGTATTGGTTGACGATGCTTCTGTATCCCTTACGAGAAGTGATAGCAATGTAGTTTTATCCTCTTCAGCTATGTTGCTTTTCACCTGAAATGATAATTAGATTCTTCTTTGTTATCAAAACAAAGAAAATCACCATGTTTTGCTGGATCTAGTTGATCAATTCAGTAACGTCAACATCTGAGAAACACTAATGTAATCAAGAGTGTAGGTCTTACTGTTTCCTTGGAAGCCATTATGTTGGGAAGAATGTTCTGCATCGTAGTAACTCTTGGATTACTTGAGCTAGACTTTGTAACTTCTATCTGTGTAGAGAAGAGAGCAGATACTGGCCGATGATTACTTGAGCTAGACTTTGTAACTTCTATCTGTGTAGAGAAGAGAGCAGATACTGGCCGATGATCAGAAAACTTACTTTCACTTCGAAAATAAGAGAGTTGTTTCACTCCTTTTCCGTACCATAGGATTCTGTCGCACCTGCCACCAAGTAATGGATTATTAGGCTTATATGAAAAGTAACAAAAACTTTTGTTTCATGCTTCAGCCCTAAAAAAGAAAAAAATTTAGTTAATGCTAATCTTTCCACCTGGACCATGGAAGGTTTATTCAGAGACTAAGAAAGAGGAGAAATCTGAAAAAGCCTTTGTTACTATAAATTTGCCTCTATGGTGATCACTCCTACAATTGTAACAAGAATCTGTAGCCAACCATGTTTACCTATACATACCATGCTGGAGTTCTTTGCTTTTCTCCTGATTTGCTTGGAAGGCCCCCTGAATACCGGTTGCAATTTGATGAAGAATACTTGTATGTTGGTGCAAATACAATGCTTCCTTCTTTCCATCCTTGAAATACACCTCCATCTTGTTCTCGTCGAAGCTCATCGAACTGTTGCAATGCTTTCCAGTCTTGCTTATTTATCAGTTGCCTGGATAAATTATCTTCCAAGCATAGCCTATAGTTCAGATCCCCAAACCAGAATATTCGACTGTTCCACAACACAATTTGAAGATGGGTTTAGCATTCAATTCAGATTTTTTAACTTCATAATTTGATTTATAACATGCATTTGTTTCTTTCCTTCACTTTTCCCCGGCAGTAACTTGGTTTTCTTTTGAATAGAATGTGACATTGAAGTCTTTTATTGAAAGTGTAAAGAATGTTTCGGCCAAATTTTTGATAACATGGTGTGACTTGAGATCTTGCGGGAAATTTGGTAAACTTTCTGGGTATTGAACTGCATTGTTGCCATAGATTAGTAGTTGACTCATCAAGTAATTAGAAAGAAATTGTATTGTTGCCTTCTTTATTAATAACGAGTTATTGCTGTTATTTTTGAGGCAAAACCTTAATTATATCTCTTCCAAAATTAACATTTTGTTTTGATGTCCCTCCGTTAATTTGTTGACTAAAATTTAGATTGGTAGGACTGAATTACTAGCATATCTCTTGTTAAGTAGAAATGAACAGTACTTACTCATGGCCTAAGATGGTGAGAGGATGAGGATTATCATCATCCTTTGAAGATCTAGGGAAGGAAGTTCGCTTGAAAATTTCTGAAACTTGGTGATTTCTTCGGCCTTCATCACCTCTCTTCTCACCAGAAGCCAAGTGGGCAACAATAAAGCAGAAACTGGTGCCTTCTATTGACAAACTAACTGAAACTGAACCTTTGTTTCCCAAATACCCCATGATACCACAAGCCACTGAGCAAACTTTTACATTTGAAATGCAGTATTTCCACAGTAATTCCTTCCTCATCCACACGCTTATAAACACACCGACCATCTTCTTGCTTGCCATCAGCTTGAATTTACTGTCTCCAAATGGTTTATCTGTTTGAGTTCTCAGCCACTCTCTTGTGGTGGTACCTAAATAGTTGCTAGAACTTGCTCTCTTATCGGAATTGAGAATACTAACACAGTGGTAGTGGTCACTAGAGACTGGATTCACTACTGGCGTCAGCCAAGGGCACCCGTATTTGTGATTGAGAGCTTTTCCTATTAGCAGGTTCCAGTTTGTTGCTTCGGTTGGGTCCTCTGCTCCTATAACTGTTCTGGTCTTCAACGGTACGATCTCTTGAAATCTACAACCAGAAAAGTTTTGCTTCTGAATGATATCTTAAATCATCTCTGGCTGTTACACATTTAAAATAGATGACCTTGAACAGTTACCTACCCCAGAACATACAAGTCCGCAGCATCCTTAAGATTCAGCCACTCATCCAAATCTACAGCCAAGCTTCCTACAGGAGATCTTCCTGCAACATTCCAGGTGCCCACAAAAATTCTGATATATATTCATAAGATTAGTTAAAACAGAAACGAGCAAATGATAGATTACTCATTTCTCATTTCCAATAACAAAGAGCTCGAAGCCTCACCTTAACTCATTAGTTGAAGTGCATGGTTCCATCTCCATGGACTTAACGTGAACATCATCCATACTACAGTCATGACCTTCATCTTCACCCTCTTCTGCAATAGAACTAACATCACTTAGAAACAAAGCCCAACACAGAACCCAGAGAAGACAGTCGAGAAAATGATAAGATCCAACAAGTTCAACCTGAAAATTCGCCCAAATAGGCATGATCGGCTCTCTTGACCTTCCTCTTAAACCATGCACGAAATGTCCTAGACCGTGATATTTGACTCTGCTTATCCATGACTGATAGTCTTTGTCCAGTCCATGCCACAGTTAGAAGATGGATTTTATGCGCTTTGTGCAACTTCTCGTATCTACCTCCAGTTTTATCTCAGTGATACTGGATTCATCAATCTCAAAACTGCTATTGAAGAATCGTTGTGTTAATCGCCGTAGGAAGAATAAACCAAACTCAAGAAAAGACAACACTTTGTATCTTAGAACACCTAGATTATAGTAGTATAGTTTAAACGATAATCCCAATTGAGGGAGCCAAAAAGCAGAAGGATTGGATTGCAAACAAACAACGTAAAGTCAAGTCTCTTATTTATTTATTTATTTCTTAGGTTGGGAGGTGTTTTGGCTGAGCAATGAAAGGTCAAGGCTTGGCTATAAAGAAGCTTCTCCCCATACATCATGGCGTAATTATTTTATACTTTTGAGTGAGGGGAAGCCAAAAAAGATATCAGCCTCACAAGGTTCTATCATTTGGTTGATTATTAGAGTTAGTTGGTGGTGGTGCTGGTCACGTATGTCCCGCGGATTTTTACGTGACAAGATCCTTACATGTCCAAGTCAAACATATCCATTTTGGCATATGCCACAGGGTACGCCCTCTATGGGGTCCCATAAAATTAACGTTCAACCCATAGAAATCGACTTACTTTACTATAGGACATCTGCATCTGCTATCCTATTGATCTCACCTTGATCATTGAACACCCACTATGTCCAAATTCAACTCTCTCACTTTTGTTTTTTGTAGTACTTGTGTAACTATCAACCAAATTAGCATTCTCTTAATACAAGAGATTTCTAAATACGTAAACCCGCTCTAGATATAGATATGCATATATGTTCTAAGTGCTATAATTATGTCGTGCACCAGAATTTTACTGTTGTGTTGGCTTAGATTAAGAACTTGCACCATATATATTGGGTATGAAATACCCTGTAGAGTGTACACTTTAGGAACAAATTTACATCTTCTGTTTGATCATTATTGATAATTGAATATGAGAAGTTGCTATCAGAAACCAGACTCTGGGTGTCAGCCCATGAGGCAAGAAATAAGTTCATATGGCCCATGTCACTAATGACACCTCCTACTTGTGTGTCGTGGATTTGGACATTCCTTGAATGATTCACTATTTAATGCTCTCATCACCCTGTACGACCCAAATTTATGGATGAAGTATTAGCTATCATGATTCTTCTGCCTCGTTTTGTTTTAAGAAATAATCATGTGTTATTAATCGGAGCATTAGTACTCTCTTGATTTCACTGCCCGTATTAATGTTTTTGTGGGGCCGTATCAAATTGTTTTCCTTTATGTAAACATCAGAAGCCGGACAAGATAATTTTCTCAGAGTTTTTTTTTTTTTTTTAAATTTTCTTTAAATTAATTATTGTTTTTTTTTTTTTTTAATTTCTGATATCTTGCTGTTTTTGCCTTGGGATATGATTGTTGCCTTATAAATTTAATATGCCTGAAATATTACTTAAAATGGGATTAAGCAAATGTTATTAACTAATTAGTTGAAAGATTAAACATGTTATGTTTTATTCTTTTGTAAAATGTTATGAATTCAAGTCTAATTATGATTTTTCTTTTTTTTTTATTTAAAGATTATATTATTATTAATATTTATATATTATTTAATTAATGAATTAATAAATTTTTACTTTAAAAAAAATAATAATAATAACGCCCAGCAAAAGACTCTTAACTTTCTTCTGTGTATCCATAGGACTGACTTCTATTTTAGCTCTAGAAGTTTGTCAGCCGAAAAGTGTCTAACTTTCTTTGGCTGCTTTCATTCGGAGTTTTCTCTCTATCCCATTTATTTTATTATTTGTTTAGATGATTCTTATTAATGACACTACTGACTATGGCTAAGTTTGCTCTTTTCCATTATTATTGTTCTATATATTAATTATTTTATGTGTATAAATATATAGATTAAAATGTAACTAATATCTATTTCATATTTTGAATTTCAATGACAAATATTATTCGTATTATCCAAGGCTGTCTAATTTAAACTTAAAATATAATTTTAAAAAATAGACAATAAAGTATATTGTTTACTATAAATTTCAATTTTTTAGATGATCAGTTTATTATATTATTTAAGAATAATAATATCATATTTTATTCCATTTTTTCATTTTATTTCCAATCATATTCTGTTGTATCAATATTTTGAGCCAAACCTGCTCTAAGTTTCATGATTATTACAAATCTCTAATTATCGGTTTCAAAATTTCTTTTACTCAAAACTCCGAAATTACTCTTTTTTTTTTTTTTTTTGTTTAATTTTGTTAATGACTTCAAGACTCCTCTCGAAGTCTTTATCTACCTGCCACTGAAACCATGTTCTTGCATGTTCGGAAAGGGCAGAGCCATACGAATTGAAGGTGTGAATATATATATCTACTCTATATATGTGTATATGTTGGGTGGAACATTTATGCTGTACACAACAAAAAGATGATGTGTAGAGATCGTGAGACTGTGTAAGTGGGAAAAGCATATAGGATTTGGTATTTGCAGTTGCAGATATATGTTAACGTCAATAATAATTATATACATATATGTAACCCAGACCCACCTCCTATATGGACCATGGTTCAATTAAGCCGACGAACAAACCTACCATCCCAAAGTGTCAAATTTGTTTAAATCTTTGCATGAAGCATTAATTTTGTGCCACCGAATATCTCAATTTCCCTCTCGCTTATGAAGATAATTAATCATTTGATAGTGCCGTTCAAGAAGATAATAATAATAATAATAATAATAATAATAATAATAATAATAGTATTAAAAGCTCGTGCTTACAAGCAAATAATATGTGCACCAGTTTAACCATTAGATCTAGATTCGTTCAAATTTCTGGTTCTTAAATAACTACAGTACGATGATTATAGTTAGTATCCTGTGCTCGCAAAAGTCTATGTGAACCCCACTTTTTTTCTTTTTTTTTTTTTTTTGGTACTTTGAGAAGATGAAAAATCTATTGTCTTGCCAGTTTTCAGTGGGTCACCAAAACGTGGAAATCTCAACCCAAGATTGGATTGAATTGAATTTTCGTTGTGTGACTTGTTCTTTTAGTGATACACATTCATTTTCTTTTTTCTTCTAAAAAAATTTCAAGCAAACGATTTATTAGACTAGGGTGTTAATTGGTTTAGAACTGAGATAAGAATTTTTATCTTATGAGTGTTGTAAAATTTATGTTCTTTCTATTAATAAATATTGAGCGTTTTTTAATTTATAAATTTATTTTTAAGACAGTTATAAAAAAATTAAATTGCCAACATATGGTATCAGAGTATAAGATTTAATTAATATGGCGTCTAGTTCAACGTCAAGAGTCTAAACTCAACAAGTGCAATCATTAATTTTTAAGTTTGATAGCAAAAATGATTTTGCGGTATGGAAGCACTTAATGGAGTTGTGTTTGAGGATCAATGATTATGGCGAAATTTTAAATAAAAGAAAAAGTCATTAGCAGCAAGTTTACAAGACTTGGTTCATGATCATTTGTTAAATGAGAATGCTTTATTTTTAATTTGTCAATTTGTGAAATTGTTGGTGCTATAAAAAATATTTCATGCCAAAATAACAAAAAAAATTTGGAATATTTTACTCAAAACATATGAAGGTGCAGATCCAGTTAAACGAACTCGACTGCAAGGATTGAAAAAACAATTCGAGCAAATGGGGCAATGTAAAGACGAAAGTATTCTTGATTATTTTTTATGAATGGAGAAGTTAATAAATGAGATGAAAACTCATAGAGATCAAATAAATGAGAGAGATGTCATGGAGAAGATCTTATGTATGTTGTCAAGTCTATTTGACTATGTGGTGATAGCCATTGAAGAGTCTAAAAACTTGGACACCACGACCCTTAATGATTTACAAGCTTCATTAGAGTCACGGGAGATGTGGACAAATGAAAAGTCTCCAAATATAATAAAACAAGCTTTAAAGGCTAAATTAAATCTAAAGGATAAAATATCTAGATCACAACATAGTAAAAAAGACTCAAATCTCAGAGGTAGAGAATGAGGAAATTTTAGAATGACTTTAAGATAAAGTGCAACAGAAAATGAATCTTCTCAAGGTAAGTCTTGCATTCAATGTCATAAATACAAAAAATATGGTAACTATCAATCAGATTTTAAATCACATATTCAGTGTCATAATTGCAAAAGATATGGTCATTATAGTAGAGAGTGTCGTGCAAAGAGATCATAACATAGAGAAAATTAGGTTAAGGTAGCCCAAAATGATAGTGTAGAGACTTTATTGATGGTAGCTCATGATAGTAATAGAAGTAACAATAGTCAATGGTTATTATACTTAGGTTGTAGCAATCACGTGAGTGAAAATAAGGAAGTATTCTCTGAGTTAGATGAATTATTTTGTTCTTCGGTGAAACTAGACGACAACCATGAAGTCCCAATTTTAGGAAAAGGAAGAATTGCCATTAAATTAAACAATGGGTTTGCAGATTATATTTTTAAAGTTTACTATGCTCCTATTATTTGTCAAAACCTGTTAAGTGTAGGACAACTAGTAGAAAAGGGTTATGATTTGTCTTTCAACAAACACGAGTGCACCGTAAGTAACACAAAGAAAGAAATGATCCTGAAGATAAAGATGTCATCTAATCACTTATTTCCAATGTAGATCAATTATGGTAATGCTTCTAATTGTAATTTTGTTATTGTCGATGATAATTGGCTATGGCATATACAGCTCGGGCATTGAAATTTTGGGAGCATTAAATTTCTTGCAAATAAAGAGTGGATTTTAGGCTTACCAACTATTCAAGTTCCTGACCAATTTTGTGAGCATTATGTCTTAAGGAAGAAGCACAAAGATCCATTCCCTACAAAGTAAACATAGAGAGCCAAAAGCCCACTTGAGCTTATGCATTAAGACTTATGCTACATGGACACTCCTAATAGAGATAACACATACTTCATTAATTTCATTAATGATTTTAGTAGAAAGAAATTGGTATATTTTTTGAAGTATAAATCGGATGCATATGGAATAATTAAAAATTTTGTGGCATATATTGAGAGACAAAGTGGTTACTCTCTCAAAACTTTAAGAACTGATAGAGATACGAAATATATTGTTTGTGATGATTTCTTAAAAAAATATGGAATTAAACATCAGTTAACATCTTGATATACTCCTTAAGAAAATGGAGTGGCTGAACGAAAAAATAGAACTATTATGGATATGGTGAGAAGCATGATGCATTATAAGAAGTTACCTAAGAGTTTTTGGGCAGAAGCGGTTACTTGTGCAGTTTATATTTTAAATAGATGTCCTCTTAAAAGTGTTCGTGCTACAACACCACAAAAAGTATAGAGCGGACAAA